CCTTTTTTATATAACATTATTAGATAAATTGTCAAATACTTACTTCGAATGTAAATTACATTACTTATATACATTTGGAAAATTATACTTTAAACTGTACATTAAACACTGTAATATTTAAACTGCAATAAACACATTTCGATTACAAACACTGTTGCATACATATACTGTGTTACGTAACTAATGTCTTTTTCGCATATGTATCGTATATATGTACCTCACATATTAATTTCGATAACATTTCGGTTTGAAGACTCGGCTTCTCGTTAATTTAATATAATCTAGAGGACTCGGCTTCTCGTTAAGACTCGCACAGATCCGTGACACAAATGAGCTCGAAAAACGTAGTGAGCCGTTTTCGCATTGCTACTTGTATTTATATCCAACTTGGGAACTGTATCCAATCAGGAATGGTTTCAAATCGCATGCCATCCTCGTCGCACTGTCTCCGAGCGTGATGTGCTTTGTAACACGTTTTCGCGAAATTAGAGATGCCACGCTCTTTTTTATCTCGCGACCGGAAGACCGAGTCTTGTTTGGCGGTAACATTGATATTACCGCAATGGTTTGTCGCAACAAACACGTAAGCTCTGTTTATCTTTTATCTGAAAAAGATATATGAAAAAGATATATTACACATATATAAATATATGTGGAATATATAAAAATATTTATAGAATAGATACATTTTAAGAAATTTATTCCAAATATATTCGATGTCTCTTAAATATTTTTAAATAATAAACTAAATATATTTGCTTTAATGTGAAACAGATGACATCTTGGTGAGTAACAAAAAAGAATACATAAACGATCTGGTATAAGAAAATTATCCCTCTAAAAGAAAGGCATTTACATCATAAATTGCATATAGATTACTAATTTTTTTCTACATGTCATTTTCACACGTATGTGTGAATAAATATGATAATTCTAATACGTAGATGATTTCATAAATTACTAAATTATATATGTTAGACTTATATATAGATTACAATACTTATTCTCCGCATTACATGGACAAGCGAGATGGAAAAAAAATAATAGGTTCAATAAATATAAAAAATAACAAAAGAAGGAGAACATAAAGATATCTCTTCATGTCTCAGTATAGAATCATTTTGATTGCTGTAAGAAGATGAATTTCGTCGGGAATGAATATTATAAACTCAATCGACGTCTTTTAATGTTAGTTGGCTTGTGGCCATATGAACATTCAATTTACAAATATTGTCAAATGATATTTTGTAATGTTATTGTAATGTATATGACAGTTTCTCAGGTAAGAGTATACAGTACATAGTAAGAGATTACATAAAAAAATAAAAAATTTGCTATTACCACATATTAAATCTGATCTATTTTATTTAATTATAAGATTCTTGCATTATAATTTATTCATGGATTTTTTTTACAATAATCTACATATAAGAATGCTTGCTTCAAAAATTAATAATTTGTGATAAATATTATTGAATAATTTAATTATGATTTTAGATTGCGAAACTGATAACATTAAAACGAAACATCAATATTATGATAAAATTTCTCTCTCCTATCATACTTTGCGTAATTTACATTATAAAATATCAAACATTTTGTATTGTCGCTAGAAAGGTGAGTTGGTATGCGTGATCGATGTATACATTGTATTTGTTTTAAAATATAATAAACAAAAACAATTAAAACAAATTGTTTTTTGCTAATCGTTTCATATAATAACTGAATTTGTCCATCCAAACTTTACCTCCGCAAAGACTCCATCATTAAAAAGAATTTGGACATATACTATAATTAAATATTAAATAATTTATTGCTATAGTTCCGAATTTATTGCTTCTATTTATTTTAGAAATATCTCAAATAAATTAGGTTCAACAATTAATTTGTTTAATGTTCTTCACCCTTGTGATTTACTTTTAATAATTTTTAAAATTATTTCAAAAGGAATAAATTTGGGGATAAAGTATTTTACAATTATTTGTTTTTAGAAGCAATTTAATATCAAGCTTGTGTCACTTGTTTGACTTTGCTCTTACATGTTGCGGTAATAATGGTGTTGTTACATTTTTAATAATTGCTCAAAATTTGCGATATTTATTTACATAATTTAAGAAAAAATTCTAATATATAAAAATTCTAATATATAATTCTAATAGATTCTTTTGTTTATAATATTTTATGTTTTCAAGTATAATACTATTGTAATGGGAGATCAGAGTCTTCATTTTTGATATTAATTTTCTGCAAATAAGTAGGGACATTAAATTCTGAATTAGAATAATAAATTAACAATAAATGAGCACTTTACTATATATATCTTTGGACTTTTTTTTTAATGATGGGAATATCAGCTATTAAATTTTTATAATTCCATGTGAATAGATAAGGTATCTCATGGATCATGTAGAAAAAGATTGGAATATGCTTAAAGATAAAAAAGAATTAGAAATTATAGAAAGTTATACTTACGTTGGAAGCATGTGCACTTTGTCTTTTACAAGTAAGAAATAGATGTGTGTTTAATTCATTGACTTTAAATAATCATAACATAAAAATATTGAAATTCGTTCTTTTATGATTTTAGTATTGGGTTATGTGGCTACGATAACTATTTTTATTTCATCGTTAATACCAAGTATCCTCGACATTATTGCTCCATTAAACACTTCGCGACCACGACAATTTCTATTTCCGGGAGAGTACTTTATTGATCAGCAAAAATTTTTTTATGCGATTTTATTGCAGACAAATATAAGTTTAGGCTTAATAGTAACCACTTTGGTAGGCACTGAATCATTATACGTGACATACGTACAGCATGCTTGCGGAATGTTTCGTATTGCCAGGTAATAAAATAACAGAAATTAGGTGGACAATTGTATATTTGTTCTTAATGCAAATTATTTATATTTATTTTATAAGTATTATGATGTAGATATACTTTATTTTAATTTGAGTTTTTTAATTATTTAATATATTATTACAAATTTTATAACATATAATTACTATTTGTACAGTTATCGAATGGATCAAGCATTTAATAATGAATCTTTACATAGTTATACATCTGGAAAGCAAACAATCATCATTTGCAAAAGAATAATTGAGGCTATATATATTCACAAAAGAGCTCTCGAGTCGGTATAATGCATTTTATTAATAATAAAGAGAAAATATTTATATAAATATGATTGTGCGATTAATGTAAAACTATTAAATCTCCATGAAATAGTGTTTATATTATCAGATCAAAATTTCCAAAATTTGTACAAAATAAAAAGAATATCATGTTAAAATATTACAATAATGATCGATCGATATAATAATTTCTTTCTCTTCAAGATTTTCTGAATTCCTGTGGTCTACTCTGGCAATTTCATATACCATTTTACTTATAATCGGTATTACATCTCTAATCATTAATCTTTTCTGCGTGAGTCATATTTCTTCAATTATTTATTTAATTAACAGGTTTTATTAAAGTATATTTTATTTAGTTGTATTT